CATTGTTGGCAGCGCAGGTAAGACTATCAAATATTGCATCTGAATTTTATGGGAATGTGGCTAAGCTGCTCATTCCTAATTTTCTAGTATTTGGCTGCTGGCCAACTTGGATTTGATTTGAAACAAAATCTCAAAAAGTAGTTTTCTATCAATCGGAATAGATCACATAATTTCAAGTCAAAGTTCAACATCATTTGATCATCAGATATTTGTTTCCTTGACTTTATGCACAAAATAATGCAGTCAGTTGGGTGACTTCCAAATCATTAGTCCTTCATCTATTAATAGTTGTGTATACTTGGTTGAAGGTTCTTGGTTGGTTTAACTAACGTGGATGTGAGGACGCTATATATTTTGAATGAGTTTTGACACGTAATTGTGATTAGTTCAGTTGTAATGACGTTTTATATTAAATGTATGCAAAAATAAACCTATATGAGCTCCTTAATGAACTCGTATAATAGTATTAGTAATAATAATGAAATGTAGCCACATCAGTTTGATCATATATTGTACGTACGGTATTATCCGAACTACGAATTAATATGCCAAATCAACATGTCACGTGATGTATCGGATACATCCAAAACAATTTCATTTCATCTCACATGCATCAACCACTGTCAATCCTCGACTCGTAGCAAGCCTATGTTAGTAAATCATTTTGTGTAGCAGGGGCCAATAAAGTAATTTCAGTACCAGCATGTACCGACCGTTGAATTTAAAGTTGCATCATCAGCATGTCCCCCGTGAGAATATGCACGAGGAGGCGGTGCACCAAGTCAAACGGAGAGAGAGCACCTCATAAAAAGTTGCCACGTGGCAATAAATGGCGCCCAGAGTTGTTCAGCGGACCAAGAACTCCGGAGAAATTACATCAGACTTAAATTGCAAGGCACCAAAAACCTCACACTCTCCGCCAACAAAGGACTTTGTACTAAATCCCAACCAAAAACCAACAAAATTATGTCCCTAAAAAATAATTAAAAAAGTGTGACTTAAATTTATTTGCATAAAACCCCATTAATCAGATTCAGAAAAAAATTCAAATATTTGGATTAATTGTCAATCTTATCCAGTAAATATTATGTTAAGAATTAATTACATATTTTTAATATTGATCGATAAATTGGATATATGTGTGTATTAAATCTACCAATACAATGCAATCAAACGGCCGAAATTAGAAACCCCTAACTTCATACCTGTTGAATAATCAACGATACAAAAAGAAAAAAGCCTTTGCAATTTCTGAGTTTGACCAATTTGGTATTTTGTTTGCATTTCTATTTCGGTGATTGGATAAACATTGTCCACAATCCCAAGAACCACTATCTTACTTAATACCATTTTGCTAGTCTTCTCTTCCTCTGTTTCTCTCTCTCTCTCTCTTCAGAAACCAGAACAAAAAGTTTGGATCTTCAAGACAAGAAACAAAAATGTCGAAGAAACCAGAAGCCTCAAAGAAAACAGATGATGTGTTCGTTGGGTCGATTGACCAAGGAACCACCAGCACCAGATTCATAATCTATGATCGTTCGGCGCGCGCAATTGGCTCTCATCAGGTCGAGTTCACTCAGTTTTACCCTGAAGCAGGGTAAGCAATCAATCAAAGACTCCACCTTTCTTCTCTTTTTTCTTTCTCATTGGGTTTTTTTTCCTCTAATTTTGATTTTTGTTGTTGTCTCTGTTGTTTTTGTGTGTTGAGGTTAGATGGGTTGAGCATGATGCAATGGAGATACTGGAGAGTGTGAGAGTGTGCATGGCTAAGGCGCTGGACAAAGCCACGGCTGATGGGCACAACGTGGACAGTGGGCTGAAGGCTATTGGGTTGACTAATCAGAGAGAGACGACTCTGGTTTGGAGCAAATCCACTGGCTGTCCTCTCCACAATGCTATTGTTTGGATGGATGTACGTACTAGCTCTATTTGCAGGTACTGTTTCATTGTTTGTTCATGTTTAGGATTTTGAATATTTGAAATCAGGATCTTCAATTGCTCAGTTTGTGATTTCTCATACATAGTAGATTGAATTTTATTGATCCTGAATTGGGATTTTGTTATTTTTGGATTTGGATGAATATGATTGATAGTGTTTTTTTGGTCAATGTAGGAATATTGATTATTAAGATATGTAATTCTGCACTGATTTTCCTGCTAATGATTTGGTTTTGTGTTTTCTTTATTTATTTATCAATACCCCTTCTTGGATGATTTGAATGGTAGCTGGATTTCCTTTGTTTTCGAATTTTGATCCATGCCCATTTGATGGAGTATTTATGGTAAATTGGGTTTCATGTTGGGATTGTTACCATGTTTTGTTTTTGTCAAATTTCGATTTGCCTGTTATTATGATCATGTGTTATGATTGTAAATTTTCTTGTTATTTTTCTAACAGAAAATTGGAGAAAGAATTATCTGGGGGAAGAACTCATTTTGTGGAAACATGTGGGTTGCCCATAAGCACCTACTTCAGTGCATTGAAGTTGCTTTGGTTGTTGGAAAATGTGGATGATGTGAAAAAGGCTGTGAAATCAGGGGATGCTCTCTTTGGAACTATAGACACTTGGTTAATCTGGAATTTAACTGGTGGTGTAAAGGGAGGGATACATGTTACTGATGTCTCAAATGCATCACGGACAATGCTTATGAATCTGAAGACCCTTGAGTGGGATAATCCCACATTGAAAACCTTAGGAATTCCAGCTGAACTTCTTCCCAAAATTGTCAGTAACTCTGAGATTATTGGAAAAATTACCACGGGATGGCCAATTACTGGAGTCCCAATTTCTGGATGTCTTGGTGATCAACATGCAGCAATGTTAGGGCAAGCTTGCAGGAGAGGAGAGGCCAAAAGCACATATGGGACAGGTGCTTTCATACTTCTCAACACGGGTGAGGAGATAATTCGGTCAACACATGGGCTTCTAAGCACTGTGGCATTCAAACTTGGCCCTAAAGCTCCGACAAACTATGCCATAGAGGGATCAATTGCTATTGCTGGAGCTGCAGTTCAGTGGCTTAGAGACAGTCTTGGGATTATTAAGAGCGCAAAAGAGATCGAGGATTTGGCATTACAAAGTAGCTGCAGAGAAATATAGATCATTTGGAATCTCTCTCTTATTTTATGGAGTGGTGATATTAATTAGGATTTGCTTAGTGATAGTGATTATGGTGAAGATAACAATTTCTGTTTTTTTTTTATTGCTTTAACTTCAAATAACTTTGTGCTTGTTTCTTGGGTTTAATATTTGTTGGGGAAGCTTAAGGAGAATATGGTTAATAGTGACTTGTAATCTCCTTGGTATTTTTGTATCTTCCTTTTTAGTACAATGTTATTGATTTATCCTGAAAAAGAGAGAGATAGAGAGAGAGAGAATGTATTTGACAATCAGTATAAGTAGGTGCAACGTGAAACAAACTGTAATTTATTCAGATTCACTCATATTATAACGCATGTACATCTATTGATATTATACTCTAAAATCTAAAGTATAAATGAATCTAACGTAATTCTACTTATTTAAAAATTGGAAAATAAGAAATATGATAAATGTAGAGATGTGCATATTGAAATAGAATTGACAACTACTTTGGAGGCCCCTTTAATTTCCTCGCTCTCTTTTTTCTTCTGAAAACTCTGTCAACATCTAATGACAAGTCTTCCTTCAACTGAAAAAGAGGATCATATTAGACAGAACTAAACAACTCATAAAAAGACATTGTTGGCAGCGCAGGTAAGACTATCAAATATTGCATCTGAATTTTATGGGAATGTGGCTAAGCTGCTCATTCCTAATTTTCTAGTATTTGGCTGCTGGCCAACTTGGATTTGATTTGAAACAAAATCTCAAAAAGTAGTTTTCTATCAATCGGAATAGATCACATAATTTCAAGTCAAAGTTCAACATCATTTGATCATCAGATATTTGTTTCCTTGACTTTATGCACAAAATAATGCAGTCAGTTGGGTGACTTCCAAATCATTAGTCCTTCATCTATTAATAGTTGTGTATACTTGGTTGAAGGTTCTTGGTTGGTTTAACTAACGTGGATGTGAGGACGCTATATATTTTGAATGAGTTTTGACACGTAATTGTGATTAGTTCAGTTGTAATGACGTTTTATATTAAATGTATGCAAAAATAAACCTATATGAGCTCCTTAATGAACTCGTATAATAGTATTAGTAATAATAATGAAATGTAGCCACATCAGTTTGATCATATATTGTACGTACGGTATTATCCGAACTACGAATTAATATGCCAAATCAACATGTCACGTGATGTATCGAATACATCCAAAACAATTTCATTTCATCTCACATGCATCAACCACTGTCAATCCTCGACTCGTAGCAAGCCTATGTTAGTAAATCATTTTGTGTAGCAGGGGCCAATAAAGTAATTTCAGTACCAGCATGTACCGACCGTTGAATTTAAAGTTGCATCATCAGCATGTCCCCCGTGAGAATATGCACGAGGAGGCGGTGCACCAAGTCAAACGGAGAGAGAGCACCTCATAAAAAGTTGCCACGTGGCAATAAATGGCGCCCAGAGTTGTTCAGCGGACCAAGAACTCCGGAGAAATTACATCAGACTTAAATTGCAAGGCACCAAAAACCTCACACTCTCCGCCAACAAAGGACTTTGTACTAAATCCCAACCAAAAACCAACAAAATTATGTCCCTAAAAAATAATTAAAAAAGTGTGACTTAAATTTATTTGCATAAAACCCCATTAATCAGATTCAGAAAAAAATTCAAATATTTGGATTAATTGTCAATCTTATCCAGTAAATATTATGTTAAGAATTAATTACATATTTTTAATATTGATCGATAAATTGGATGTATGTGTGTATTAAATCTACCAATACAATGCAATCAAACGGCCGAAATTAGAAACCCCTAACTTCATACCTGTTGAATAATCAACGATACAAAAAGAAAAAAGCCTTGGCAATTTCTGAGTTTGACCAATTTGGTATTTTGTTTGCATTTCTATTTCGGTGATTGGATAAACATTGTCCACAATCCCAAGAACCACTATCTTACTTAATACCATTTTGCTAGTCTTCTCTTCCTCTGTTTCTCTCTCTCTCTCTCTTCAGAAACCAGAACAAAAAGTTTGGATCTTCAAGACAAGAAACAAAAATGTCGAAGAAACCAGAAGCCTCAAAGAAAACAGAAGCCTCAAAGAAAACAGATGATGTGTTCGTTGGGTCGATTGACCAAGGAACCACCAGCACCAGATTCATAATCTATGATCGTTCGGCGCGCGCAATTGGCTCTCATCAGGTCGAGTTCACTCAGTTTTACCCTGAAGCAGGGTAAGCAATCAATCAAAGACTCCACCTTTCTTCTCTTTTTTCTTTCTCATTGGGTTTTTTTTCCTCTAATTTTGATTTTTGTTGTTGTCTCTGTTGTTTTTGTGTGTTGAGGTTAGATGGGTTGAGCATGATGCAATGGAGATACTGGAGAGTGTGAGAGTGTGCATGGCTAAGGCGCTGGACAAAGCCACGGCTGATGGGCACAACGTGGACAGTGGGCTGAAGGCTATTGGGTTGACTAATCAGAGAGAGACGACTCTGGTTTGGAGCAAATCCACTGGCTGTCCTCTCCACAATGCTATTGTTTGGATGGATGTACGTACTAGCTCTATTTGCAGGTACTGTTTCATTGTTTGTTCATGTTTAGGATTTTGAATATTTGAAATCAGGATCTTCAATTGCTCAGTTTGTGATTTCTCATACATAGTAGATTGAATTTTATTGATCCTGAATTGGGATTTTGTTATTTTTGGATTTGGATGAATATGATTGATAGTGTTTTTTTGGTCAATGTAGGAATATTGATTATTAAGATATGTAATTCTGCACTGATTTTCCTGCTAATGATTTGTTTTTGTGTTTTCTTTATTTATTTATCAATACCCCTTCTTGGATTATTTGAATGGTAGCTGGATTTCCTTTGTTTTCGAATTTTGATCCATGCCCATTTGATGGAGTATTTATGGTAAATTGGGTTTCATGTTGGGATTGTTACCATGTTTTGTTTACCACCATTGCAACTACAAGTTCTCACAATAATGTCATAACAAGTTTCAACATATATGAAGGATTAAGGAATCATCCTTTTCTTTTTCTTGTTGATAAGAATCAAGAATGCATAAGGCAAAAGAACCGGGCTTTATCTTGCTACATGGAATAAAACCTCTGGTATTTGGACCAAATCCCGTTATTCAGTATTTGGGCCTCACTTCATGCAAAGTCTCCATGTGCATTTGTCTTTTTGGTCAAATATGTGCTTTTTCTTTTTTTTTGGGTGAAAATCAAGGTATTCCCCGCGCGATTGCGGGAACTAACCCTCGAGGTACTGTCGGGCGCAAAACGGGGACCTCTCCTGAGGAGGTTAGTCCACTGGTGGGGTTTATTTTGTGCCTGCCTTTAATGGATTATTTGCTCCATGGTGGCGTGATGATGCTCGTGGGGTTTGCATTGGTATTACAAGGTTTACAAACAAGGCTCACATTTGTAGAGCAGTGCTTGAGAGTATGGCCTTCCAGGTGAAAGATGTGTTGGATTCAATGCACAAAGATGCTGGAGAGAAGGGAGAGGTTAAGAATGAGAAGGGGGAGTTCCTGCTCAGAGTGGATGGTGGTGCTACTGTTAATACCCTTCTAATGCAGATTCAGGTTTGGGCATTGTTCTTTTTCTTTTGTTGCTCTAATTTGCACTATGTAGCTCAATTTTTATCAACTTTACCTCCTTTTCATTTTTGTTTTTCTGTTCATAATCTATAAGTCTTCTCTGAGTTCTCTCTTTAGTTTTTGAGTCATCTATAGCGATATATGTTTTTGTAACTTTCTATGATTTACAGCTGTGCTTTCCATGGCATCCACTTAGGTATGTTGTTCACGTGTCAAAGTGAGTGTTAGTTGTGTAATCCAACAACTAACCAGGAAAATATATGTTTGACCTTTTCTCCAGTATGTGAAAACTTGCCAGATTGTGGTGAGGTTTTATCTAATGAACTATTTGCTTAAGCATCTTCTAGCTTTGCATGTCTCAACTAAAAACTGGGCCCTTGAAGGAGACTATTTGGGATGAAATTTGAAACTATCAATAAACCGTCTACCTTTTTTTTGTATTATGGTATTATCAATATAAGGCACATTATCAATCCTTTCCCTTTATTCCTGTATCAACAACAAACCATCCTCAGCTTTCCTCAAAGAACTATATATAGATATTAGTACTACTTACCCTGCAAACATGCAGTACTGCAAGTTTCTTACAGGAAGTGTTCCATTTTCTTTCGTATTAGAAATGGATAGCCTTTTAGTAAAGTATCTTCCACTCAATTTGATTGCAGATTTTTTAATTTATTTTTTCGCACCTTTCCTTACCTTTTCTTTTAACAATTTTGTAAAAGACCATTTCTTTTGTTATAACCATATGCTGTTCTCTTGTTATTGCTGTTCTGTAGGCGGACCTGTTGGGGAGCCCAGTGTTAAGACCAGCTGACATTGAGACAACAGCTCTTGGAGCAGCCTATGCTGCTGGATTAGCTGTTGGCATTTGGACCGAAAAGGAGATTTTTGCTGGTGAAGAAAGGGCTAAGATTGCCACCACCTTCCAACCAAAATTAGATGAAGAGTTGAGGAAGAAGAAGTTGGATTCATGGTTCAAGGCTATTTCGAGAACTTTCGACTTAGCTGATCTTTCACTTTGATGTACTCTCCTGACTTCTTTTTTTTATCCTTAAGTTTTTTTTTTCTCTTCCTGTGTTGTTTAGTTCTGGGATGATGTTTTCTCCCTTGTGCAGATTTTCATAGAATATATGGGAGCAAAATAATCGCTGACTCTGACTGTTGTTGGCACGAGGATCAAATCTTTGTTGGCACCAGCACGAAAGGACTAAAAGTTGGAATGTCTTGCTCCTGACCTTCTGCACTTGTCAATACATAGTTCATCTATTGATATTTTTCTGCAAGTCCCTATTGGTTGGCGCTTTCGGTGATTTGATTTGCTCAAAGCCATCTGATGCTTCCTACTAGTATAGCAATAATGCCATAGTTTGGCTTCAAAGAAATTATGTGATAGTTGCTCAACTGAAGATCTTGATTGTTTGGTATCAAATTGGTGAACCGCTTTTAGTGTTTCCTATTAGAGAATTACTACAGTACTGTGATATATACAGAAAATTTACACCCCAAAAAAGAGGCACTTCAATCTTGACATTGCCCAACATCCATTTCTCATTCTCTCCTTTTTAGATTGGCAATTGGTCTTGCTTGTGAACATTCTCAATTATCTGATTCCAAATTGTTAGACAATTGAGTTGGATTCAGAGCTAAATTGGAAAACTCAGAATGAATATCTGTCTAAGCATATAAACAGTACTTGGACTATGAGTTGGATTCAGATTGTTAAGAATTAGGTATATTGCTGAATTGCCCCATGAACTTGTACATAACTCTCAATTTACACCATGACCTTATTTTTTAGCGAATTAAATGCTCGAATTAAATTTTATTATCAATGTTGCCCCAACCGTCAAAATTTGAACATTTCATTCATTAATCCGTCTATTTGACTCACGTTGACTCTTTGTTGAGGGTTATTTTCATCATTCAGTTCGGATTGAATTTCCAATCTCTCTCACACACTTCGCACATCTCTTTCACATTGATAGGCTTAGAAAGGGACCGAATCGAGGGCGGGAAAAAGGACGAAATCGAAAGTTAGAGGGACGAAATCGAAGGTTGGAGAGAGAGAGAGAGAGAGAGAGAGAGAGAGAGAGAGAGAGGACGAACTTATCTGGCAGAGTTGATGGGTCACACAGGGGGAGTTCAGAGTTGGAAGATGGCAATTCATGGATGTTGCCATCACGGGTCTGCTACTGTGGGAAGGTTGCAAAAATTCAGACTTCTTGGACCTTTTCACATCCAGTATGAAGATTTTATATTTGTGCTCAGGTGAGTTGAATTTTGAAGTTTGGGTTTCAAATTTGCAGTTTTGAGTTTCCACCTTTTAAAACTCTGTGTTTGCAGAAACGTTGTCAAATGTGGAAGTGGGGTGACCCTGTTTTGTGCAATAGATCTAAGCAAATAATTCCAAGACTGCTGAGGAGAATTAACAAGTTGGAAGCAGAAAAAAAGAAAGGGAATTCGAAGCTGAAAAACCCATGGTTTTGGGTGTCATTGTGCATGTTCGGGGTTATTATGCGCTTGATTTCGAATGAAGATAAAGGCACCAATGGGCAGGTGTAGAAAGGGATGGGTAGTTGGCATTTTGGTTTAGGGTTATAAAGGGATGGGTGCACTGCTTGGCATTTTGTAAGTTTTTGTAAGGGTTAGAAAGGGATGGGTGGTTGGCATTTTGTAATGGGTAGAAAGGGATGAGTGTTTGGGGTAGAAATAGATGGGTAATTGGCAATTTGTAATGGTTAGAAAGAGATGAGTGATTGGCTTTTTGTAAGGGTAAGAAAGAGTGTGTAATTGGAAATTTTGAGTGTTGTGACCATTGTAATCACTGTAAGAATTATTTTGGTGAATGAAAATGCAAGCTGTCATTTTGACCATTGAAATAGTAACTATCACACCAAATGAACTGCACTTCAAAGTATGCCAAAATATAACATTTGAATTCACATGTAATTACATCAAAGCTTGTCCAAATTCAGTTTCAAAAATACATCTTCATCCATTCACTTCAAATAAAAATCAGTTCAACAATATACTAGCAAATAGATTGCAAACCAAAATGATCTAGAACACCAAAATAAACATCACAACTCTTCAACCATTCACTTCAAATTGCTGACTAAACTCTCCATGGCCTTATTCGTTTTGCTGGAGATTTTAACCTAGGCCTTTTTGGAGAAGTTACCATTGGTTGAGATTGTGAACTTGAACCTTGATGAGCAAATAATCTTTGGGCAGGTTGTGAAGGACCTTGTGAACTTTGGGCAAGTTGTGAAGGAGCTTCTGAACTTGAAGGTTTCACAGGTTGGGAACTTGAACCTTGGGCAGGTTGTGAACCAACAAATAGATTGGTCATCCTTATGACATGGGGGGCATGAGCTCCTCTTTTCACCTGTTGCAAGCATAGATCCCTTAAGCCTTCAATGATGCAATGATTGATTCAAAACATACCACAATAATCCAAGAACTTACATTAAACTTTGGTCTTGCCTGAGTTTGTTGTTGTTCACTCACAGCACCTCTGCCTCTCATAACACCTCTGCCCCTGACAGTTGTTGTTCCACTTGCATTGACACTTGCAGTATCAACACCTCCATTACCAGTTGCAGCTCCTCTTGCCCTTGCACCTCTTCCCCTCACAGCTCCTCTTCCCCTTCTACCGCCTCTTGCTCTAGCACCTCTAGGTTGCCCCTTCATTGTCAATAACAACAAATCACATGTTAACATTGCAAAAACAGTCCAATCACATGTTAACATAGCCATTTTCAACAAACGAAATGTGTAAACAAATAAATCAAGAACAATTCTAACCTATCGATTTTGGGGACAACCAGCAAAATTGTGACCTTCTTGTCTACAGTTGCAACATGTCATTACAATGCCATACCTTTTAAGTTTTGTTGCCCCTTTTGGTATTTCATCAAGTTCTTTATTTCTGCTAAGTTTGGGCCTTCCTGGTTGGAAGCGATAAAGAGGTGGCTTGATAGGTACATGCCCTGTTTTTTTTTCCAATATGCTTGACTAGGCATTGGAGATATATAGCTCTCATAAGCCCTATCATATGCCGGTCTTTTGTAAAGTGCATGCACAAAATCCAGAGGTCTGTGCTCACTCTTTGCTATTGCGGCCAAGGCATGTGGACAAGGAATTCCACTTAAGTCCCATTTTCT